TTTTCTGAGAGAGGTGCCGAATGTAACGTAACATAATGTAATGTGGAGTTTTCTGAGAGAGGTGCCGAATGTAACGTAACGTAATGTGGAGTTTTCTGAGAGAGGTGCCGAATGTAACGTAACATAATGTAATGTGGAGTTTTCTGAGAGAGGTGCAGAATGTAAGGTAACGTAATGTAATGTGGAGTTTTCTGAGAGAGGTGCCGAATGTAACGTAACGTAATGTAATGTGGAGTTTTCTGAGAGAGGTGCAGAATGTAAGGTAACGTAATGTAATGTGGAGTTTTCTGAGAGAGGTGCCGAATGCAACGTAATATAAAGTTCTCCCCAAACGAGCTTGATGGGCTGAATGGCGTCCTCTCGTTTGTAAATTTCTTATGTTCTTTTTACTTTTGATTTTAAAGTCCATGAATCTAAACGTATGTATTCTGGGTGTGGACATCATCTCAGTCTTAACAGCATAAATAATGGCGAAATGCGTAAAAAGCATGATTATGATTCAGATTCAGCTTAGAGTGTAGTTACTGACCTGTGCTTGATGGTGCATGTGATGTACAACAGGCTACCAGAAGCCTGATTGGTGGGAAAATCTTATAACATGACAGACAAATGCTGTAGATTTTATTCAGTTAATTGTTACTCGTTATGACAGACTGCTTAAAAAGCCTAGAACAACATACGGTCTATTGCATCTCAAATGTTTGAGTGAAAGTCTGAATGGCGGGTGTGTCAAGGAGTATTAAAGCACTGGTACAAAGTGACAGGCAATTTTATTCAGCATTACAAAATATTTCACATCACAGACATCTCCCAGAATAAATGTTAAAAGCCCCCTGTGAGAAAAATGGTTCTGTGACCTCTTGTTGAAAAACCAATTGAGTATAACTCCTGGAAATAAACCTAAGCTACTATTTCAGAAAGGAATATTCTGAAGGAGATGTGATCTCACATATTCACGTTAACAATGAATCAAACAGGAACTGCGGTAGTACAGTGGTTTTGGTGCTCATCTGGTAGTCGGTCTGTGATCCAAAGATCTCTTAAGAGGAAATCGGTCTCATCAGGTGGCCAGTAGGGGATTGGCCTCCAAGACTTCATCTGATTGGATTTTGTGGAGCGGAACAGATGGAGCTGGCCAATCAGAGCGTGTTATTACTAGCTAATGGGATTTAGTGGCTGATTGTAGACCGTGAGTGTCCC